GCAATAGTTTTAAAATTATTTATAGCAAACTTTTAATTTCATGTGATATTTAAATAATTTCTGCATTCTGCTGGTCTTCTTTCTTGGCAATGGACATAGATATGGATCTCTTTCAATGGTTTGGATAGGTAACTTCCAAATTTCTTGGCATAGCCTAAGTGCTTCTAAAATCAGATTTTTAAAGATTTCAATTTGTATTCAATCAATTCCTGGATACTGATCTTTGTTTTGTATGTAGCTTTCAATACCATCAATCCTTGATGATATATTACCTCTTGAAATGGTTTAACATTGACCAAATTTTTTTGATTTAGTAACTCTGTGCATATTTTCATCTTCTTTTGAATGCTTCTTGTGTCATAAAACATCTTGAACATTGAATATAACTACCCAAGGCTTAATTTTTTTCCCACTTCTTTCTGCTTGAGACATGCTGACTGTATTCTTCTCTTTTGGTTTTATAACTCCAGGTCTTAGTACATTTCCTTATAATGCTTTACTTTGCCTTCTTGAGCTGAGTTTCGAAACTTTCTGTTCAGCCTTTTATTTCTTCTATCCCTTTAATTATGTTCAAGAATAGCTTTCAGAGTCTTCAGGCATCCGCTTTGGTCTCTTGTTTTCTTATTTTATTTTGTTTGTTTGTTTGTTTGTTTGTTTGTTTGTTTTTTAATCATTGTATTTCAGGCTCATACAACTCTTATCACAATCCATATATACATGAATTGAATGCAGCACATTTGTACATTTGTTACTCTCATCATTCTCAAAACATTAGCTCTCCACGTAAGCCCCTGGCATCTTCTTTATTTTTAATGATCTTTTCATTTCTTCCTCCATCATGTTCTCCTTGGTGTCATTCCACACCTCATCTGATTATTGGTCATTAGTGTGCACTGAGTCAAATCTGTTATTTGCTTACATTTTGCGTCTTTTGGACTTGTTTTAAATTTCTTCAGCTTAAAATTGAACTTGCATATTAGGAATCAATTAGTCTGTTCCATAATTGACCCTTGGCCTTATTCTGGATGAAAAAAATGGTTAGCTTCCTCTTGAAATGGTTCTTCAAATGGGTGTGGTTATTTTGATTCCCTTGCTTTCTATCTGGAGAAACCCATTTGTAAAGTCATTGATTGTGTGGTTGAAAAGAGACTTTTTCAAGGAAAAAGCATACTTCCCACACCACTCTATGTCTCTATTGGGTGTAATAACTCGTTACAATGTCTATACAAGACTCACAAACAATAATCACAAATATGGAGGTTTATTAGGGATGTGACGAGGTGACCTCAAACCAAGATCAGAAAACCTTAAGGACACAATGTTTTGTTCAAAGCATGTATCTCCTCAGCCAACAGCCAAGTCTCTCTCTGCTCCTCAGCTGCCCAACCTGTGGTCCCTTGGCTTCTGTGCCCCATGATCCTGGACACCTGCCCTCTGCTCTTCCTCACAGTTTCTTTTTTCTTTTTAATCGTTTTATTAGGGGCTCATACAACTCTTATCACAACCCATACATACATACATCAATTGTGTAAAGCGCATTTGTACATTCATTGCCCTCATCATTCTCAAAACAATTCCTCCCCACCTAAGCCCCCGGCATTAGGTCCTCATTTTTCCCCTCGCTCCCCACTCCACCCTCCCTCATGAGCCCTTGATAATTTATAAATTTTTATTTTGTCATATCTTGCCCTGTCCGACGTCTCCTCTGACAGTTTCATAGTGTCATGGCTGCACATCAGCTCTGTCTCCTCATCTACTAGCCTTGATCTCTAGTCTAGGGCAGGGTCCTTTGTTCTGTCCCATAGGCTAGTGCTACAATCTCTAGATCCATTCAGATAGAGATATCAAACAAGCTCCACTGTTGGCTCCTCTTCCAAGGTGGCCCTAGGATTCTCTCTGACTGCTTCTGAGATGGCTCTTCTATGCAGACGAATAACTGTAATGGAGTTTTGATTGTCTTTCAGCAAATCACAGCCTCCAAGGAAGCAAAGGCTAGTGACTTGGTTCACACGTTCTTAGAAGGGTGGGACTCATTATCTCCCACCTTAAACCTGCTCATTAGCATAGGAAAAAAATCCCTCCAAAATGGGATTAAAGTCACAGACATAGAGGTTAGGATTTAGGATACATCCCATACAGGATTTTGACTATAATATTCATATTAATTGAGTGACTACGTATCAAGAAATCTCCATTCATTATTCCATCAGGTTAGTAATTTTAATTATTCTGTTATTCACCAGACAATATGTTATCAGCATTGGTATTCAAAGAAACCTACCATTTAGAAGAGAAGATAATAAGTTTTACCTATCACCCGTTACTATGCACTCTACTTAATTGTATTCAACAAATATTATCAAAATA